ATATATATATATATATATATATATATATATATATATATATATATATATACACGATATAACGCGGGGCTTGTCAGCACGATAGCGTCTACAATTCTTCAGGAATCTCAATGAAACTCGACATACTTATTCTACAGACTATCGCGAATGTCAAGTTCAATTATGAGCTTAATCGGTCATGTAGTTTTCAAATTAGATTTTGAAATTTTAAAAATCCCAAAAATACAGTTTTTTACCGTTTATATATCGAATAACTTTTGAATGCGACATTGTATTGAATTTCTGAAAATGCACCTGAAAGCTCTTCAAATAAGCTTCAATTTTCATAATTTGTTGAATATCTCCAATCAAAATTACATTCAAATCTAATATCGTTTTATGAAATTTGTTGTTGCATTGGTTTTTTTTTCTCGAAATTACTGAAACTTTAAAACTTTCAATTGATTAAACGCCTTTAAACTCATTATTTTTATTGAAGTTTGAAATCTACTTCCATTTCGGTTGCCGAATGGCCTTTCTTAACAGAAGTATTTATTTTATTGTCCTAATATAAAATTGTAAAAATATAAAGATATACGTACCATTCGGAACGTTAGATCTAGGTTCAAGACATTCCGAACCTAACTCAATACCTGTTTGCACAGCAGATTCTGGCTCCCTTTCTGAATCTAATAACAAAATAATTTGTATTAAAACATTAAAACTATATACGATTGCTTTAGTTGTATTACATATAGAAAAAATACCATGTGTAGAGGTTGTAAGTACGCATCGATCATTAGGATTAGTAGGTCCTTTGTAAATACCATTCACGGGAATGGCAGTATTCTGAAACAGATCTCATTGATATTACGGGTGTTAAAAAGTTTATAACTTAATGATTATTTGATGATATTTTAACTCTGATGAAATATAAAATGAAATTCTATGTTAATTCTATGTTAATTTAATGATCAAAAGAAGTGAAACTTGAAAGATATATAATCGATTTATAAGCGACAAAAAAAAAAAGATTTACCTTTGCTATTTGTAGTTGAACGATTGTATGTTTGATGGAATTAAGCACAGAGTTAGCATGGACTAAAATAACACCATACTTTTCTTGTTTATTACTATCCTTTTCTGTTTCATTAATCGGCTGGCCTTCTATTAATACTATTTGATCAATAAGCAATTGTAAAAACGCATCGGCTTCGGATACTTTTCGGTCAAAATCATGCTTGGATAATGAACTTTTTGGATCCCAACGCTAATAAAAATTATAAATATTTGTTACTTATTTATTAAAATAACGTTAACAGCCAATAGTTCTAATGCATAAATTTTCTCGTTTTTACTAACGATCAAGTAATTTTAATAGAAAAGTCTACGTTATTGTTATGAAGCTTTTTGAACTCAAAAAGGATCAATTGAAAATATAAAACGGCTCTGCTCACGTATCAACCACTGAACCGCTTAAAAATTTTATGTTATCAATCAGTAAAAATGACAAAATCAATATATATATATGTCTCAAATATTTGATATTATTTATTTACTGCATAAGTATTTATAAATAATATTGATTAGAAATATTAAAAAGTTAGTAACAAATAATTATTTGAATTATTCACTTCAATTCTTCTGAACTACAATAAATTATTGATAAATTGTTCAGTAATCAAGTAAAATTAAGAAATAAATTATAAACATTTTTAGTTGACAGATAACTTGGTTTCATGGCTTATCGGTCAGTCTAGTGGACGTTATTCAAGTAATGTAAATAGAATTAACATATTTACAAAAAATTAAGCTGATATTTTTATCGTACTTGGTTTATGAAATACTAAAAATACCAAAAAAGTAACCTAGTATACATTTTTGGTCTCAGCAGTGAAGTTTGATGTATACTTATTGCACATTTTTTGTGAATGTCATACTACTATTGACTGACAATAAATATTTTTAATTAAGTTGTAAATAAAAACAATACATCTATAATAAGATTTTTTTTACAAAAGCTCAGATGGTCCTCATAGTTTTTTATAGTCAGTCCCAGTCCTTGAAACCGCTATTCATTGATTTCTATGAATTTTACTGATAAAATAGGAAGTAGTTCCGAATTTAACGAATATAAGAACCTCTATATTCGAATTCCAAATTCGTTATCGCATAAAGGATAAAATATTGCTTGCTACTACCGTATGCGAATGACGTAAAATAGTATCTTCGAGAGCTCGAACCCAGCGTTCTCGTTCATCACTATTACGAGTTTGGAAATGGAAAGTTTTTGGATCATCTTTCGATGAAGAAGTTGTGATAGTAAATGTACTGTCATCTTCATCATCTATTCCAATTACTGCACCTCGTAATCGGACACAACCACGGCGGGCACCTCGCATCATTTTTTCTTTACTCTATCGATAGAATTTAATAAAATTACTAAAGAAAAAGTAAAGAAAATTATAAATTAGTAAAAAAATATCTTACAGTATAATATGATAATAGACCAGCATTGTCATCAAGAACAAACCAACGATATTGCCATCCATTAACAACATTTGTCCATTTACTAAGTGATCCTTCCATTGTTGATATTATGTATATAGACTTTTTCAGATTAATAAAACTTAAAAATGATATCCTGACATTTTGTAAGACCCTGTTAATGACATCTATAAATTTAAGATATCAACAGTAATCGAATTATTTATAATTATTCATAAAAAGCAATTATTTAGTATACACATAAGACGTCTACACTAGCACAAGATATGATTTGTTATTCATTTACTATTTACCATTTACTATTTACTAATGACAGACCATTGCTACGATAGAGGACACTGAAAACTCGCAGCCTTATAAAATTTAGGTAGTGTGACACAACTTATTTCTTTATTCAGAACTTTCAGAGACATCTTTACTCAATGTTCGAACATATGCGCAAGCGCAACTAACGTAAAATCAGTAAAATCGTAAAATCGATCCGAACCTTTACTCAGTTCTGATAGCCATCTTAACCTAAACTTGCTGTCTAACTAAGCCCGCCAACATTTGAAGCCAACTTAACCGAAAGAGTTGGCTTTTTCAGCGGTTTCAGTTAAGGGGGTATTTTGGTCTAGAAGCATGAAATTTCAGGTAATTTTTGAAGTGCCGTAAAAAAAAGACAATTAATATTTTTAGAATCCATTTTTTTATAAGTTATTCATTAACATTATAAGAATAAAGAAAAAAATAAAAAAAATTGAAAATTCAAAAAATTAGCAGCTGATGAAGTGGGGGAGTCTCAAAAAATTGGCACGTGACGATACTCACGATTCCAACCCTCCTAGCAATCGGAAACAAAAAAATAAAAAAGATTATTAATCTAGAGTAATGTCGCTATGGTTGGAACTATGTTCATCCCCAAATTTCAATTTTCACTATTCAATTTTTCAAATTTTCAAATTTCAATTTTTACTATTTTTAAAAAATTCGAAAAAGTTAAAAAAAAGTGGTAAAAAAAATGTTTTTTTCTTCAGGCAGTCGCCATTTTGTAAAAAAATTTTTTTTCAACTTTTCCGTAGTTCCAGCCATAGCGAGATTACTCTAGATTCATAATCTTTTTTTATTTTTTTGTTTCCGATTGCTTGGAGGGTTAGAATCGTGGGTATCATCATGCACCAATTTTTTGAGACCCTCCCACTTCATCAGCTGCTAATTTTTTGAATTTTCAACTTTTTTTT